TTTAGGATGAAGTAAACCACCTTCCAGAGTCATTCCTCTCCATCGGCTAGAGAGGTAGCCTAGACAAGCTAGACAAAACACAACTCTCAGGCATTTACAGTGCCAGCTGTGTACGCACCAGATAAGAGAGAGGGGAATCTTCTGTTCCGTTCTAGCACCTAGGAAGAGAAGTCATGTATGAAGGGCATTGAAGAGAAACATGTAAAGGTTAGAGAAGGGACTAATTCTTGTGGGGGTTTTTGTTTGTTTGTGTGTGTAGATTTTTTTTTTGTAAACTAAAAATTGTTTCCCCATTTTCCCTTGGTTGACTGTGTTCTTTCATTGCCCACAGCCTCTTCTGGCTCCTAATGTTTTCACCCTTGACATTAGTATTCCTTTAAAGAACTATTAGTTCTAGACTAGAACTATTCTTTTGTGCCTTTTGAACAAATTCCAAGCCCTTCCAAATTTAACATTTCAACAGCACTTTGTCCTCTATTTACACAGAGTTCTTAATTCCACGGTCTGCAGTTTGACTTCTGTCCTTCCACAGCATGTTGCCTCCTCACTTACTGTACTTCTGTGAGACACCGCAGTGGAAGTGTTTCTTTTTACTCTTGTAGAGCAATTCTAAAGATATTTCAGTACTGGCTTCTTGAAAGAGATACTGAGACATAACAACACTTGAAGCGGTAAGGAAATTTAAGCAGTTTAAAAGGATTACTTTACACTCCCACTCTTCACCATGTGCTGGAAGAACACCATTCCCCACAGCTTAGAGGCGTATTGCATTTTCCTTACCATTACTATTAAAAAAAAAAGTGCCGATTGTTCAAATAATCAGAGTATGTAAATTTTAACAAGCCTGGGAAAACTGAGACATTTGTATCTGTGAATCAATGCTGATGTTCTCTTTTGTTAATTGGAAAAAAAAAAAACAACCCAAATAACAACAAACCACCAAAAAACAATACTGCGTTTCAAAAAAGTCTGTTTCTTATTAAGATTTAGAATACTTGTTTCTGTATCTAAGCTCCAAAATGTGCAGCGCAATACTCCTTAACACCTTGAAGCTATTTTATTTAAAGAAGAAAAGTCTATTAAAAACTTTCATAACATTGTCAAACCAAGGTTGCAGAAGATAGTAAATAGCGGGTGCAGTTGCCCGCACACTCTGAATTCTATTTCTTGCCCCAGTCATTTAGTGTCCTTACTGGGACAATGGGCCCTATGGAAAACACATGATCACACAAGTTGTTGAATACAGGTTGTAATTAATAGCCTCAATTTTCTTTCCCCTCAGGTGTAGACTGACCATTTTTCAGGAGGATAAAACAAAAAGAATTAACAGGGCTCCCGCCCCCAATTATCTGGAAAAATACACACAGCATATCTGTGAAGCCTGATCAGCATGGCACCGGGCAGCATTCAGCCATGCACGTGTCTTGGACTACTGAGCTGGTATGACTTAAATTAGGCTCATGTCAGAGGCCCACAGTTTGATCTTCAAATGTCACTACGTAGTTGGTATGGATGTAACTTTTATTAGATAAAGCACAATTAAAACAGCTGTTACAAAAAAAATGTGGTACCAGCAGAAATAACAAATGAAACATACAAAAATACTTGCCCAGCAACTCCTGCATCAAGCAGTGATTTAGTATGACCTGACCTACACTGCACCAGCGTGGACAAATGAACAACAGGAATTTAAGGGGAACTTAAAAACATTAAAATTAGTTAGTGGAAGACTATAATAAGCAGTATGAGGGACTGCCCCTCTAATAAAGCCTTCATATTCTAAAATACTATTAGAAGTGCATTTTTTTTTTTTTTTGTTGCTTGTGATCTAAATGCAGCCACCTACAAGTTAAGGTACTTCTTTCAAAAAGCAAAGACCACCCATTGAGGGAACTCTTGCTGCCATAGCACAGAATTCAGCTGTTGGGACCACTGTAAGGTTGAGACCGCTACAATGCGGAAGGTACTCTACAGACCTTTGCTACTGTCTGAAACGTACTGAGAAAACAACGAGAACCTGTTTGGTGTGCAGTTGAGTACTACATGCTTTGATTCTGGCAAGGAAACCTCTGGGGTTTTCCAATGGTTTGACTGGTCTTTCAAAGGTATTTTTTAAATGTCAACTCTTAACTGCTTATGTTAGATGGCTCAGGAATTGTCTGCTTTACAGACTACCTCTTTCTCAGTCTCTTGCTTTTCTTAAGCCCGCAACGTCTAATACAATATTTGGCGGGAAGTGGGGAAAGAGAAATTTGTAGTAGTGTTTTTGGGTTCTCTGACTTGATGTACCTCTGACATGCTCCCAAGAGATGGTGGAAGCCCTCAAACTAATCAGAAACAGCCATGACAAAGAGGAGGTTTTTTGGTTTTTTTTTTTTTTTTTTCTTTTTTGGGAAAAGAATGTTCCTGTAAACAGAACTGAATAACTGTAACATGGTTTTCATGCAAAGTAAGACTTAGTTTGACTGTCTCTAAAAGAAAGAGACTGACTCTAAATTGACTCTGTCATTGTTACTTTTGCATGCAGTGGCTGATCCTCTTTTTTCACATATTCCTAAAGAAATTTATGTAAATTTTTGTCACAGTAAAAATGAAAGATGATTTTAACCAATAGCAAGAAGTCAAACTGTTTTCTCCCCTTTTCCTCATTCCAGCTCATCAGGCCATATGTCTTCATGAAAGAGATGACTAGAGTATTGAAGCTAACACCTCTGGAACAATCAGCTCTGCCTGCATGTCAAGCTGCGAGAAGAAACTGTTCTAAACTTGCAAACACTGTAAACTATCCTGTACAATTCCGATGGGTAGGTCTCTCTTCAAACAAGGTTTTCAGAAGCAGCTGCGTAGGCAGAAAGATGAGAAACATTGCAAGAGAAGGAAGACGACAAAGTTGTTTTATAGGACACAGTATAGCTTCTCAGTCATTAACAAGCAGCAGTACACAGGGTGAGGTGAAAGAGTTAGAAAAAAAATGTAGTTTTAAATGCATAACAGTAGAAGCAGGAACTGAAATCCCTCTTCTCCCCATTCTTCAACATAAAGACAGTGCAAGCTTGCTTTGTGCAGCCATCTCAATGAGGCATAAGCACTTCTCTGGAAGCACTTTTTAAGACTGTTCGAGACTATTCTTAGTAACTCAGGGAAAAGGTTTCCACACTTTAGTTGTGGATGATATGAGTTACAGTAAGAATAGTTATCAGTGAAAAGAATATATGAGTTTCTCCACTGGCAAAATGTAGTTGTTGGATGAAAGATTTTTTTTTTTTTCTTCCCTCAAAAATGTGTACTTGCCCTTTAAACTAAGAACTCTTCTAGAAAAATAAACACCATGTATGATAATAAGCATTTATCATTTGACTTTTGCTGAGTAATAAAAGTACAATATTAAAAATAAATCAAGTAGTTTTTTATCTTTGTAGAAACTGATGTCAACATGCAAACTATTACAGTTATAAGATTATTCACTTGTAGCTATTAAGTAACACAATATAATCAATCCTCTGCTACTTTGCCATGCAGAGGTCATAGAAATACTAAATCAGAAGTTCTGGATTATATCTTGCAATAAAGTAAGCATCATCCATCTCCATTACAATCTCTTCACTGTTCTCTGAAGAGAGCATGAGCACACCGACAAAGAGCAAGGTTGGCAGTAAGTCAGTGGTAGGTCTAAACAGTGGTTTGTGAGATGTAGTAGGTCACAGCACAATCCTGAAGCAAGGGATCCTTCAACAGGCAATCTTTTAATAGGGGACTGCTGATAGCAAGAATACAGCTAACCCATCAGTTATTTTTGTCAAAATAAAACAAGATACTTTATTTTACAGTGTATTTGTAGGAACACAAAATATGGTGTTTTTTTTTTTTTTTTTAACCCACCATTTGAGGCATTGTTCTGACATACACCACAGCAGATAGCTGGACTGCAGTGGAAAACCAAGAAAATCCTGTACGATATCAGCTGTAATACAAAGGCCTTAAAAACTGTGGGGTTTTTAAGCATGCTTGGCTTAAGATACTCAACATCAGTCAAGTGGAGATACCAATGTATTATTCCAGTTCACATCGTGGATGTATTACTGTAACACTCCCATAACAAAATTACAAGACACACATGTTCTTGGGACGGTCCAATTTTAGGAGGCACTACAAAGTCTGAGAAAACTGAGAAGCTGAAAAAACTACAGAATAAAGAAAAGCTAAACATAAGAGTTCATTAATATTTTTCTTCTGAAGCTTAGAGGATTCAGGCATACTGTTCTAGATTCAGGCATACTGTTCTATGCAGAGGCATAAAGTCACATACATTTTAAACAGAAAAGCAAGTAGGTTGCCACTACTATTTTATACTGTTAAATTTCAACTTTTTCACTTCTTAAAAAAAAGTATTAAAAATCTTGTTTGGAGAAACTTCCAACCATTTCAGAACATGTGCCCTTCCCTGGGGACAAAAGGTGCTGGATTTGCTCAGGACTGAATTTCTGTTAAGTATTCTTAGTTTCAAAACAGATGAGGATTAAATGCACCTTGAACACTGAAAAACTAGTCACACCTGTCAATTAAAGGTAATAAGATAAAAATTTTGCTTACCTTTCCATGAAGAACAATTTTGATTAAAAAAATTTTCATCTAGTAGATAATACCCATTTAACAACGTATTACGTGTTATTAGAAGGGACATGTTCAAATTATTCTTCAAGCAAATTCCTTTAAATCATTAAAGTCACCTTAAAAATATGTAACGCATCATTTGAGGATATGTAAAATACCAAAGTCAACAACAGCTCTTATTTAATATCCAATGTTCAGACTCTTCTTATAGGGTGGGAGAATATATGGTGATATTACATGTTATTATGCTTACAGTACTTTGGAATGCAAAATTAAATCCTACTATGATATCACAGGTTGTTGTATTTATCAATCTTTCAAATGATACTAGCTTTAAAAATATTGTAAACTGATCCATATCTAGTAAGGTTAAAGTGAAGCCCAGACACTCACTTCTGCAGGCTTTCCAGCTCCGAAGGCAGGTCACAACCTACGTAAACTCCATTCATTAAACTGTATTCTAACAGTGCACAAAAACAGGGATCCTACAAGAGAAGATTAATGTTTCATTTAAATCATGCTGCTCTGTGAAGTGAATTTGCAAACAAATTAACATGGTACATGAATGCAGGACATTTAATAGGACCTTTTCCAGAAACAGAACTCTACAAACGGTGCAAACATGGTGTAACATGGGAGGAAGATACCTATAGCTGCTGTAAATTACATTTATTGCATGTAGGTGTGGGGAGACTAAACTTTCTATTCAGACCATTTCTGGAATACTGCTTTCCTTCTTATCCAGAAAGTCAGATCTAACACCTTATCAGATATTAAGGAAATCCCACCGTATTCCTATAGAAGGACCATGCATGGGTTCAAAAAGGAGGCCACCTCCCTGGCAGGCGGTTATATTAATTGGGAACAATCACTTCTACCACCCTCCATTTAAAAAGTGAAACAACTCTATTTTGTGAAGAATCTGACTGCATAAGGTTATTCAGAGCATGCTTACTGGACTTGCAGGCTGCTGGAAAACTTCAGCATTGAGGTTCTGACCTCTTCTAGGGAGAAAGGAGGTAGGAACCTGTATGCACAGATCAGCATTACAATTTCCTTTGTGCTTGGAAGTCTACTGTGTGGGTACCTGAACTGTCCATGCTTATAGGAACCTATGGAGTTCAGATACTCCCAAATGCAGACTGAGGACAGCATACCAATTCTTAACAGAATCTCATGTTCCCTCACATCAGATTACCCCCCAAATCATTAATTTACTGTGGCAAATGCTACATGCAATTCGAAGATATAAAACCAAAACTTACTTTCACAAGAACGTGAGGATTTCCCACGACGATCAGCAAAGCTTTTGCTCTAGTAATTGCTACATTAAATCTCTTTGGGTTAGCAAGAAAGCCCAAACAGTATTTATCATCACCAAATAAGCCTTCATGAGATCGCACCTAGAAATAATTATAGATAATTTTAGAAATAGAATAATGGCAACTTACCTAGCTATAATGTAACTTTAACATAATATTTGCTTACTGAAGCAATCCACAGCACAGTGTCAGCAATGCACAAGTTAACTTCATAATCCAAATTTCAGCTAGCTAACTATTTCCCACCATTGGCTTTCCCACAGAAGGCTTATTCTCCAACAGGCTGCTAATGCAACTTCAGCAATTTCAAGAGAATGGTGTACTGGTTTTATTTTAGCATCAGGACTATCCACTGTAATTTGAAACACAAGATACCAAAACTGCTTCCTAAAAACGAGTAATTTTATCTTTTCAATAGAAGAAATGCTAAGGCTGCTGGTATTCTAATTCCTACAGTTGAATGACAATTCACAGTGTGGCTTTCTGCAAGCCTTCTTCAGTAGTCTTATCAGCGTGCTTTGACTTCGCTTAGAAAAAACAGCCAGAGCAACTAGTGTGCTGTAACTATTGCTCATTAAAATTTCACATCTATTTCATCTACATTTGAACCCATCTTTGATAAAAGAAAATTGTCATGACCTAAAGAATGAGTTCTTATAAATAGGAGCATAGTACATACCTAGAACTACTTTAAGAGAGATAAAATGCTGGATTGAAAAGCTATGGTATGATGCAGAACAAAGAAAGTAAGCATAGTACCACTGCCCTCAGGAAAAAAACACAAACAAGAAAATCCCACAAACTCTTCCCCCGAGCCACAAAAGAACCCCCAAAAAACCAACTGTTCCTCCACCCCCACATTCACCCTGCCTTCCAGTGCTTTAATTGTTTACATAGCTGCTTTATCCTCCTCTCTCCTGGAAATCCTATGTACTCCTGTTAAAAGTAGTCCAGTACCGGTCATATCTTCAGCTACACATTCCTGGTCTATACTTCCTCCTTTGATGAATTTGCCTTATATGCTATTACTCAGACCTACACTGGCTCTGCCTGTACTGTACACATTCTTGAACAGCCCTGAGGGATCTTGGGTCGCAAACACCTCAGAAACCCCATGTTGCAAACACTTAAATCTTTACTTAGAGACTTACTGCACTGAAACCACATTACCATTTGGAAAAAAGCAAGCATATGCAGATTTTTTTGTATTCTGAACTGAATTCCACACTGTAGAAATACAGCTGTGTAGGGCCCCACAATGCCCACCAAAAGAAAGTCTAAACCCCCGAACACAATCACATACACTGAACTGGTATCACTTGCTGACGTTCAAAGTTTTAAGTTAGCCTTTCTCTAAAGTTTCCTGACTGTCTATTCCACTGATCTGGCACAGATTTTTACTTCTGTCCAGGAGTTCAGTGTGCCTACAACAGTGCACTTTTGATGGATGTTGTCTCAGAACATAAAAGGATTGGTATCACATATTCTGGTAGCAAGAAGCCATCTGCAAAAAGCCTCAGTAGCTATCAGCTGACTTACCAGCCGCTGCTTACACTTGACTCCACACCGATTTCTCCTTAGAAGCAAAAAGAAAAGTCTCCTGTCAAGAACCTCAGCCAACAATCTTACATGCCTGAGAATCATAGAATACCAGTTGGAAGGGACCTCAAGGATCATCTGGTCCAACCCTTCCAGGCAAGAATTTGCACAATCTAGACGAGATGGCCCAGCACCATGTCCAGCTGAGTCTTAAACATGTTCAGCGTAGC